ACTACGGTGCTAATGCCTCTCGGGTTAGGCTCGCAAAATCCACCCTTTCCTTGCCCGCTTCGCCAACGACTGGGCCACCGGTGAGATGCTCAAGCAGTTCATGAGCAGTGTTCGGCGGTATGGCAAGCGCAAGGGCTATTTTTTGTATGATACAGAGGCCAGTGATGTGTTCCGCCGCCTGGACGATATGGAGGACGGCGAGTAGGCATTTGGCATGGGCCTATATGGTGCCATGTTCCCCTGTACAATAGTGATTTATATCCTGTCTGCCGTGTGTTTCTACCTGGTGTGACAGCAAATTTTGCTTGTGTCTGCATATTTTAGACCGTCTCTGACCGAACTAAATTCTCCGTGCCAATTTCGTGGTTATTCTGCAGGCGGCAGACTTGTGAACTTCACCCGCATAGCTGCATGGTTTAGCCTGGCTGTGGATTCACCCATGGTCCGGTAGAACTTCACCTGTCTCAAAGCCTGGCCGACCTGCCAGGCTAAAGGTCAAATATTTCTGCGTAAATTCTGCTGACTCAATTCAACTGATAGCTCGGCTATTGACCCAGGTCTGCAGGTGGAAATCACTCGTTGTGCAGACTAACTTTACGGGTTCTGTCCAGGTGAATTTCGTGGGCCCTGAACCCTACAGTGTAATTATAAGGCCTTCATGTGCTTGACGTTCTGGCCTCTTGCGTTCGGGGGACGTTCGAATCTAATCAGTAATCGCGAAATCTGGCGTGATCTCGTGATCTCGGGCTATACCGGGCCGTGTTTGGGGCAGGGAAGCTGGCCATGGGCGAGAAAGCGAAAGTCCGACGACTACTGGCCGGGACCCTCGACAGCCCACGATATTTTTGATATCTATCATCAATGCATTACCACAGCTCGGGCCATGGCAGTTACAGTCCCCCTGGTGCGGGCCGGCGGAGCATCTGCGTTCTCACTCCCGCCGGGCTAGTCCCTGCCACTGCACACGCCAACGCATCCCCTGCATTGGTTTACCACGCGCACTTCAACAGTACCGTTCCCGCGATTGACTCGACGCGCTCCGAGCCGCCGTCGTCCTCGCACGGCCATTCAAGAGCGCACAGTTACCTCCCTTTGCGCTCAACGCGTCTTCGAACGACAACGGGTCGAGCAACGGCAGCAGCGGGATCAGTTCTCGAGCGTGAGCTCTTTTAGCTCGCGCCTGTCTGGCCTGCCTAGCTCTCCGTAGGAGTTTGGGGTGGATTCAATCGGTGGGCTGAAGCTTCTCATTAATTGTGCGCGCACACTCTATGCGATCAGAGGTCACCGGTCACTGACGAATGCGTACCACAGCTAGCGGCCTTCCTCGCCCTACACATCACTGACTCTTGCACGACACACTCCCGGCGCCCCAGCAACAGCTCTTGCACGCCGCCACAAGCACACTCCCCGCATTAATGGAGACCGCTCTGTCCCCCCTCCTCCGCGTGTCGATTTCACCTCTCCCCAGGCTACCACCGTCCTCTCCGCTCTGGCCGAACTGGAAGCAACAGCCGTCGTCAACGATGCTTCTGTTTATGTGAAGATCGCACCTCCCATCCACGTTCGTGCTATCCCAGCAGTTACAGAAGCACATTCCATCGCTTCCGCTTTCAATGTGCTCTCCGGCTCCACTTGTGCCGACGCGGGGACGACCAACACCGGCGAAATCATCAAATTCCATGTCCGGCTGGTTCACCCTGGTCGGCCATCTGGCCATGTGCAAGTGGGACTGTCGTTCTCCTCGGTATCAATGTTGCCCTTAGCGGCTTCTTACTGCAAGACATCACCTTGTTCGTGGCAATGTGCGCCTCGCCCTCGTGCGCGCGTACCCGAGAAGGATGTCGAGAAAGCTTGCGAATACCCGAAGCCTGCCACCGTTATACCGAGCATTGGGCCCGTTGTTACTGTCCCTCCTGCCCCGGCCCTCGAGCTTGATTTCCCCCTGCTCCTCTCGACGGTCTTGCCAAAGAGCACAAGCTTAAGAGGGAGCGTTTTCTTATCGAGGCTGTAGCCCGTGCCGAGCACGCCCGCAACGAGCCGACCCGACCGCTCGACGAAATCACCAGCATATTCGAGGACGGTCCTCGCCCAGCACTCACGAGCTTGTCGCTGCTTACGGACGAAGGGGCAATCCTTTTGGTTCATAATGGCAAGATCGCCGCGTACGGACTTGAGAAGATGCTTGGGGACTCCGACAGGGTGGTCACGATCCGTCGTGCATTGATCTGTAAGCGCGCAGATTCATACTCAAAGATAACTCGTAGTGACCTTGCAACAGCTCGTGCTTCAGAGACCAAGACGCTTGAGCAGTCGGATGTCTCCACGTCGTCAGTTACGTGCGCATTCCACTTGGTATCGCTGGGACTCTGAAGATCGACGAGGAAATGCACCCTGTCCGCCGCCGAGGGCACACTCGTTGTTTCCACCTCGCACGGACGCAAGGCGCTCAATCCCAGCGAAGATGTCACTACTATTGTCACCTACGATGGCCTGATTCGCGAACCTGCCATCGACTTCCCGAATAATGTTCAGGCCGCCGCCGCTCGCGGGTCGATCGAGAACCCCGAGGGCCACGCCATTTTCGAGGAGGCCTTCGAGTCTAACCTCCCGCTTCGCCAAGCTCCAGAACGTCAAGTGTGCAATGGCCGGTCGCACGCTGCGCGTTCGGTTCGACCACCCGCACTGGCGACGATGGGTATGAACACGATCTCAAAGGCGACGGAGAAGGCACTTGAGGTCTTGGGCAAGGAGTTCCCGGAGGTGGTTGTCGTCGTGCTTTCCCAGCAAGATTGTCAAGACTGTCCTGAAGACGACTGTCAAAGTGCACCCAGAACACCATGAACTGGGTCAGCAGCACGATGGCTGCTCTGTCGGAAGGCTCAATGCCCACGCGGTCAATAACTTGACTGCTATCTTCTTGGCAACCGGTCAGGACCCTGCACAGAACGTCGAGAGCTCTAGCTGCATGATGCTTGTGGAACCGTGAGTAGAGAGCCTGAAATTTACCGATATTCGTTGCTTACTCTTATCCGCGCTCGCTACAGGACGAACAACGGCGAGGACCTGGTTATAACAATCTCGATGCTATGTATCGGGGTTGGTACCGTCGGCGGTGGCACCGTCCTCGCCCCTCAGCAAGCCGTCCTCGAGATCGGTGTGCTCACCAAACGACACGGAACCCTGGCCAGAGCTCCCAACAGCTCAAACTCTAACCAGACCACGGCCGACTACCTGCAGGATGGCGATTTTCTTCTCAGCAACCCTGGACTGGCAGTAACTCTGCTCTGAACCCTGCATCGCTGCTCGCGCTGAGCGTTGGTAGATCTTACTGCAGCCTCTTTCTGCATTTCCACAGAAAGAAAACCGTTTCGGTTCCCTGTCCGCGGTATTCCAGGCCAAGTTTCGGCTGGTCCGAAATCGTCTTGTTGCTGATCATTGCGCCCCCATAAATACGCAACCCAGTCTGCTACTCTCTTCCTACCATCAATGTCATGATCTCATGGACGTATCGCTGTACAAGGACGTCGTCACCTCTCGCGGCTTGATGTACCACTACTACTTCTCTCTTGCCCAGTTCTCCATTCAAGCCGGCCTTACTGTCATGGCTTCTCATCCACGTCTCGCGAATGGCGACCCACCGTACTTCGTCTTAAGGACAAGGACTACGGCGTGCTCCCCCTGGACATGCTCGGCTATGGCGGCACCGACAAGCCCACGGATCCGGCGGCGCACGTCCCAAACCTGAACTCGTCCTATCTCTCCTCACCAGAGCCACGTCGGACACTGTACTTCCCACGACAGGGGCTGTAGGGCAATCCCGCGCCCCACGAACCATTATCCCGAGCGAGCCCTCGTCTACGCCTTCCTCGCCCTCTCGTTCGCATAAGTGCTATCCTCGATAAACTCTCAAGCTTCGAGTGTTCTCGGGCTTCCTGAAGTAGCGACTCGGGTACGAGACATTCAGCTAACAGAAATTCTTACGTGAGCCAGACGCGAACGAGGCCATCCAGACACATGTAGGTAGCGGACGCGTGCTCAGCTCGTCCTACAATCGCTGACGCGTTTCACAGGTCGACTCGTTCGTCGGCGTCATGTTCCCGCACATCGCGAGATCTGGAAGGAGCGCCTGCCGCCGACGGGCGCGCTCAAACAGAGCCTATTCGAAGACTTCACTGCGCCTCGACCATCTTACTTGTCCAAGGCAAACGCGAAGCGGCTTTGCGGCGCCGACGTGCTGGTTCAAGATTGCGACGAGCGAGCTGTCTGCCGAGGACGACGAGCGTGCGTCTTCATATCTCTGGATCTGCCTCTCTTAGTGTGGCTGATGCAAGGGCTATGCTGCAGAGATTCCTCCCGGGCGCAAGTTCCCACTTTTCAGGGCGCCAATCTACTATGCCGCGGCGAAGAACGACTATGTCAGTCCTCCAGAGACTGGGCAGGAGGTGCTCAGCGGACATAGTGTGACGAGGACAGAGTACAACGCGGATCACTGGCTTATTCTCTCCCATGCAGACGAGATTGCCCGTGATCCTGAGGAGTAGATCGAGGGCACCGTTGCCGCGAAAGCCAACTACTACGTGCTGGCCCCTGGCAGTTGGGACAGAGTGCACACTGGCAGCTCAATTGCGCAGATCGAGAGAGCACGCTCAGATATAATATATCTAATCAGCTATCTAATCGTAGCGCGCAGGGAATCTGGTATATAGATTGTCGCTTTGCGCACCGTGTTCGTCACTCTCATAACTGCCTTTTCCTTCGCGTTTGCAAAAGCGTCGGCCTTCCCAGCTGGATGTGCCGCTGGTGAGTTGCCGTTACCCTGGTGCTCTGTCATAACCGTATCCACAGGAAGCTGAGCGTGTCTTTGGTCCAACTTGAACAGACCGTCGTTGGGCATGTCATTGGCGAACCAGTGTCCGGCGTGCGCTGCATGCACTCGGATACGTTAGTCTAGGGTCTCAATGAGGTGCGCAGCCGGTATAATTTCGCCTGTACCTTACTCACCAGGCTACCATCACTTAGGGTGTACTTCTTCAAGCTTTAAGCTTCATCGCTCCATCGCTGGCCAAGGTATTCTGGGCGGCAGGAAGGAGATCTTTTGTGAAGGCGCACTTCTGGCTTCTCGTGGCGTCCGTGCTGTCGTACACACCCGCGAGATAAAGCGTAAGCACGTAGCAAATTCCCAAACACGTCGTGAAGCTCATCGGTTGGTCGAGGTTCTCTCCCTTTATCACACGACCTTCTCATGCATGATGCAATCCATTCCCGCTCGCTAACAGCCCCCGTGCACACTGAGGTCATTTTCCATGATACAATTCGGCATGGGCGGCACAATGCTCAATGACGAGACTGCCCTCAAGACGGCGCGGGAGAGCGGGGTGACGAAGGCGGATCGTCCCAGGCATGCTTGCAAGGACGCGGCCCGTCTCACCAATCTTAACGAGAGTGCTATGTCAGCTCGAAAAGAGGCAGAGTGTGGTAGAGTTTGCAGCTGCGGAGTGTCCAAGTATAATGTTTGATTCTACAATGACAAATTAGATCGTGCATAATTTTCCAGAGCATTCTGTCCTCTAAGAATATGTGAAATATCACTTCGCCGCGCCGGAGCTTTTGACTTTGCATACCGCTCACCCGTCCATCTCCTCCGCTTGACTTCTCTTGGCAGCGTCGCAGCCTCCTCTCATTCGCCGGTCCTCTACGAACGCGTTACGGGCTGTACGGCACATGTGCGGCGCGCCCTATCCATGATGTCCGTGCACGTCTCGGGCCGCGGGTTCATCGCGCGGTGGGTTCTCTACATGGACATCGGCGCCGTGATCGAGAAGCAGGCGCACGACCTCAGCACGCCCCCTCGCCTTTGTGTGGTCCAGCGCACGAAATCCGTCGGTGTCCATGGCTGCAACGTCCGCGCCATTATCCAGGAGAACGCGGGAAGCGTCGGTGTGCCCTCCCGAGGCCGCGTAGAGCAGCGGGGTCCATCCCTTTCTGCCCTGCGCGTTGACAGCCGCACCGTGTTTGAGAAGAGTGTACACAATATCGACATGGCCATATCGTGCAGCGATATGTAGCGGCGTTTCGCGGTACAGATCCTGCGCGTCGACAGGTGCACCGTGCGTGAGAAAGGTGCGCGCGACGTCGACATGGCCATATTGTGCGGCGATATGTAGCGGTGTCCCCCCGAAGGCAACTCGCATGCCAACAGCTGCGCCATGCTCGAGGAGGGTGCGTCCAATGTCGATGTGGCCTTTTTTTGAAGCGATATGTAGCGGTGTCCACCCGATCTTATTTCGCGCGCCGACAGCTGCGCCGTTCTCGAGAAGGATCCGCGCGATGTCGACATGGCCTTGATTCGCGGTAATATGTAGCGGTGTCCATCCGCCTTGTTTCTGCGCGCCGACAGCTGCACCGTGCTTGAGAAGGGTGCGCACAATGCCGACGTGACCTTGTTTTGCAGCGATATGTAGTGGTGTCCGCCCGTCCTGTTTCCGCACGTCGACAACTGCACCGCGCTTGAGAAGGGTGCGCACAATGTTGACGTGGCCCCTTTGTGCGGCTATATACAACGGTGTCGCGCCATTCTGATTGTACGCATCGACAGCTGCTCTGCGCTTGAGAAGGGTGCGCACAATGTTGACGTGGCCCCTTTGTGCAGCTATATACAACGGTGTCGCGCCGTTCTGATTGTACGCATCGACAGCTGCTCTGCGCTTGAGGAGAGTGCGCGCGATGTCAACATGGCCATTTCGTGCAGCCATGTGTAGCGGTGTCCACCCGTCCACTGCCCGCGCGTCGACAGCTGCGCCATGCTTGAGAAGCGTGCGCGCGATGTCGTTGTAGCCGTATCGTGCAGCAAAGTGCAGTAGTGTCCGCCCGTTCTCTTCATGTACGTCGACAGCCGCGCGGTGCTTGGAAAGGGTGTGCGCGATATACTTGTCAACATGCCTGCTCCTAGCGAAAGCCTCCTCGCCTGACAAATACACCACCCTCGTATTCTCTTCGCCTAGTCGCAGCCCGACAAATTTCTGCCCTTCGCCCTCATCCATATGGATCATACCCCATTTAATCACCTCAAAAGCTTTCTCGCCTTGCACATCCCGCTCCCCGACCACCTCAACCGCAACCCAGCAATCCTTCCAAGGGTACCCGACACCGAGCAAGCAATACGGAGCATTCGGGACGAGATGTCCATGTACTTTGGTAGCGGAGATTTGCACGGTGACGGGGTCGGTGCGATCATCGAAGTGCAGCTGGAACACTTGCGGTCCACTGCTTCGGTGGGCGTCGTCGGGTGAGGGTACAAAGTAGCATGGTTCGGTAGCGTATGCAGCATGGTAATACTCTCCGGGCTTACTGGTTTGAACCTGCTGAGGATCTACCAGCTGCAGCTCCTCTGTCTCGAGTGTCCGATTCAGGAGCAGCCATGTTGGTGGGGTTGCCAAGAGCTCCGACCACGAGATCCACAGTCCGAACAGTGAGTTAGATTCATGCTGAAGGAAGAGAGATGTCCTGATCCTTGAAGGCATGTGCTTGATGAGTAACGTCCAAGCGGCCTCCAAGGAAGCCGATTGGTCGTACAGCGGCAGTGGCAGCGTCGAGCATTGCAGGAGATAAGCAAGATAAGCAATTTTGTCGTGCTCTGCGGGGCAATTGCGACTATTCACGGCTTGGATGACTTCGGCGAATCGGTCCCGACTGCCCATACTCGAGATGAGGTCCTGCAGCCGAGAGAAGAAACTCGGGCCATCGGAGAGGGGTGCGGCGGTGAGTCCGCCGGGTAACCAGCTCTCCAGGGTCTCCTGCACGGTACACAGACAATTGAACCAGTGCTCATCCGCTTCGAGAACCATTGGTGACGCATCAAATGGTAAGCCCAAGCCGTTGAAGTAGGTGATGCACGGTCTTCCGCGTGGGTGGGCTTGATAAACATGACCGACCGTAGGTACGTCGAGCCTCCACTCCTCGAGCCGAACGTCGGCGTCGTCCACATTGCCCTCCTGCCGCATACAGAGAATGTCGAGCCAGACATATTTGGCACCCATGTTCAGCAGCTCGATGCGAATGTGATCGAGTGATGTGCCGCGCGGAAGCGAGACAGGCCATCGGCGTCCGTTGATCGCGGTTATGATGAGCTCGCGCTCTCGTTCGTGGACCCAACTATGTGACACGGTCCATAGGTCAGCAGGCAAGCAGCTAGAACCTTCGTAATCTTCCCAAGGTACCGCATGGAAGGGAAGGACTCGGTTGCTGTACAGGTCCCAGACACGTCGAGGAGGGATTCGGGACTCGATGGAGTGGCCACGAACTGCATTTTCTCGCCTTCGTTGATCCTCATCACGACGATCCTTCATCTTGGCGAGTACCGTGACAAAGTCATCAGACGGCCGGCGGTTTGACCATTGCGGGCGTAGGACGCTGTACACCTCTCCGAAATCGCGTGAAATGCTGATGGCATACTCTAGACATTCACGAAGACCGGGAGTTTCGAGCGGATAAGATGTGCCAAGGACGTCGTTGAGTTTAACGAGTAGGTCGTCAATTGGTAGGTGGTCACAAGGGATGTCTGCGAGTGCATCGGGTATCGTTCCTTGTCCAACGTGTACCCACTGCAGAGGGACGGCGGAGAGTGTGGGAGGCCGTAAAGTGTAGCATTTGCCTCTTCCCGATGACTGAAACAGATCATGGGCAGATGCAGTCCCGTACGACGAAGCCAGCTGAATTAACCCCCATATGACAGTCCGATTGACATCGGCGGAAGAGCTCCCGCGTTCAATCCGCTGGTCGACAAACTCCGGAATGACTATCTGTGTCATGGTGGGACGATTATCGCTGGTAACACAAAGTGGGTTCGTGTCGGCCAGTAGTATGCGCAAGTCTGGCTTGTTATGTACGGTGTAGAGTGTGTAATACTGGCCATCACATGTGTCAATTGCATTGGTAACGGATGATCATACAACTGCACACGAACCGAAGGCGCCCCGAGGTCGCCGACCGATTTGAGCTTAGCCAGCTCATTGAAGGCCTGTTTGTAGGAGATTGGAGTCAATCACACTTGCACTGCAAGTCACAACATGACGATCACGCACCGCAATGTACTCGTATACTCTCGAGCTTTGACGTACCACCTCTTCTGCGGTAGAATAGACTATCCGCGTTCGTCGTCTGCTGGTGGCCACTTGTGCCTCCAGCCGCTGGCCTTCGTCTTGGTGGACCCGGATGACCGCCCATCTTGCGACTGAAAGTGCTTTCTCTTCCTCTACAACCTGCTCTCCAACTACTTCGCCAAGAATCCAGTGCTCCACGTCTTCTCCGTCATTTATCAAGCAGTATAGCATGCCGTCCAGAAGTACCCCACGTCTGCTGAGGATCGAGAGCCTGACAGAGTTCTCCCGATCTCCACAGGATATTTCGATTTCTTCTGCTCCAGCTTGAGCAGCGCCGCCCAGTAGGATATAGCACGATTCAGTGATATAGCCAGAATGGAAGTATACACCCTGCGCATTCGTGTAGAGCTGGCTCTGATCCACAAGTCTAAGGCTACCATCCCCAGAGGTCCCTGCCAAAGAGCGGGGTTCGCTGGCGTGAAGAGTCTCCGAAAAATGCAAGAATGTTTTCCACGATCCCCACAAGCCAAAGAGACTAGACGGCGGATACTGCAACGAGATTGCTGTGCGCCGCTCCGCGTCCATGTGCTTGAGCAACAGGGTCCAGGCCACGTCCTGACTCATGTTCTCGTCGTAGATAGGCAGTGTACGGCATCGAAAGATGTACGCCAGCCCAGAAATCCTGTCGATCTCCTTAGTGCAGGAGCGTTCGCGGAGAACTTGGCCAAGGATAGAATCATCACCACGACTATTAACCGCCTTCACGATACCGCAAAGGCGGTCGAAGAACGCATGAGCATCTACGAGAGGTCTGGCTGATAGGCCGCCTGGAAGCCAGCTGAGCGGGGACTCCTGCAATGTCCAGACACGATTGAACCACTGTCGTCTTGAGTATACAATGGCTGGTGAGGTATCGAGAGGGAGACCGAGACCGTTGAAATAGATGACGCATGGTGTCGAGGGACGGGAGTAGGTGTAGCCGATGGTGGGGACGTCGAGCTTCCATTCCTCCTGCCGCTGCATCTCGTCCTCGTCTCGACCTATCTGCCGCAGGCATAGGACATCGATCCACACATATTCGGCACCCATGTTCAGCAGCTCTATGCGAACATGGTCGAGGGTGGTCTCGCACGGGATAGGGACAGGCCATCGTCCTCCATTGATCTCCGTCCATACGCCCACACGATCCCGCTCGTCTACCCAACTATGTGAGACACACCAGACGTTGGGTGGTATGTCTTCAGGCCTTGAGTTCGCCTTTCGAGGCAGGGCATGGAGCGGGAGGACTCGGTTGGAGCGCAGATCCCATACGCGGCGAGGAGGAATTCTGGAGTTCTGGATGCAAAAACCACGGATAGCGTCGCGGCGGATCGCCTCAAGCTCAATATTACGGGCGGCTACCCGCTGCACGACATCACAGAAATCGCTGTACCACCAAGGGCGCAGGAAGCCGTATAATTCACCAAAATCCTTCGATTGCTGTACAAAATGCTGCAAGCAGTCATTTAGACCGGGAGTTGCCAAAGAGTAGCCGGTTTGGAAGATGGAGTTAAGGGTGCGGAGCGGATCAATACCGGCACAAGGTGTATTTGCTAGCGTATCTGGTATGGTTCCGCGGCCAATATGCAGTTGCTGAAGCGGGACTTTGGAGAGCCAGGGCTGCCTCAGGGTGTACATGGCACCTGTTTCCGCATTCTGAGATTTGAACAGGATCTTCTCGGAGACACGTCCTGACGCCGCAACTTGCATTATGCCCCAGAGGTGAAGGCGGTTCTCCTCCGAAGTTGTGTGCGGGTCTCCATTTCCGTTGAAGCGTCGCTCGAGCACGGCAGGGATCGTGACAGTCGTGCCGGCGGTGGCAGATGGCCAGGGAGGGCCTTCGCAGGGGACTACGATAGACATCTTTTCCAGCTGGAAACGCCAGCCGACGTTTTCCGCCTGCGAGATAATATCAGCACATTAAACGTGATGCGGCATTCGCGCGAAGCGTGCTTCCATCCCAAGAACTCACCGGCTTTAGATTGCTCTGGTTGAACGAATCCGAGCCGGCTCCGCCGCCGCCAGTTCCAGTCCTTCCGGTCTTCAACTAGATGGGGCGGAACAAGTTTTCATAAGCCTGCCATTTTATGAAGATGAGGATAACCGTTGCAGCGTACCGAGCGATCCGAAGCTCTACTGAGATCTGCCATTCTCGTAGCACCAGCGCCCGATAAGATAAAGAAAGCCTAGTAGATGGCATGAATATTGAGATTGCGCGAATCAAAGAGCAGACCTACCAGAGGCACGAGCAATAAGCTAAGGTAAATTGGGGCAGCGTTGGTCATGACGGCTATTGCACTAATAATAGCGACAGAACAAGCGAGGCTGGCCCACATGTAGTGAGAATGGTCGCCTAGATCACCGCCAGCTTGTCCTCCCTGTAGCGGCGACACGCGGGGGTCGTCTATGTATGACATTGTTCTACGTGGCAGCCAGCTTCATGTGACGATAGCGCGAATGGGTATGAGTCGCCGTAGCCTAACGGCCGTCTGGCCAGCAAAGCCGAGGGCAATGCAGCGCCGCAGAGCTGCGTAGTGGCTGGACCAGCACACTGGCGTGATGTCCAGACAAAAATGATGCACTTCGAGTAGCACCGTTCTGTGTTTCGTTTCCTTCGTATGTGTTTGCGTCTACAGGGTAGTTGTGGGCAAGAAACAAGGCGCGCGCAGACGCTGGCGTCAGGTATATCCGCAAACGGAAATGACCATGAGCTGTCCACCTGAGCCTCGCCGAAAACGGAACAACTCCGCTCGGCAAGCTCTCCCCCCTTGGTGATCCAACACCCAGGATAGCCCTCAGTATGGAGACACGAGACAACTCGCCAGTCATGGCTAATAGCAATAACCTCATCAAGCTTCTCGGCATCCAAGATAGTGTTCCTGGTCTTCCTGAAGCAGTACATTGAGTACGAGATGTTCGACTACTGGAAATTCTTCAGCGAGCCAGACGCGAACGAGGTCATCCAGACACACGTATGTGGCGCGCATTCCCGCCTCGTCCCGCAGTCGCTGACGCGTGTTTCACAGATCGACTCGTTCGTCGGTGTCATGTTTTTGCACGACCCCACAATCTGGAAGGACCGCCAGGCCCTGACGGGCGCGCCCGAGCAGAGCTTGCTCGACAACTTCGTCTTGCTCCGCCCAGCTTAACTGCCCGAGGAAGCCACGAAGCACTTTGTGGAGATGTCCAGGCGCGACGGCTTTGCTGCACAGATCCCGCCCGAGCGTAAGTTCCCGCCTGTCAGTGCACCAATCTACTTTGGCGCGGCGAAGAATGACTATGTCTTCCTTCCCAAGACCAGTCATGTGTCTTTGCGGTAGGAGGTATTTGGCAAGCACAACCTGACGATAAAGAGTATCAGACTACTGGCACATTCTCTCCCATGCAAACGAGATTGCCTGCAATTTTGAGGTGTGGTTCGAAGGAGCCATTGCCACGAAAGCCGACCGTTAAGCCAGTGGTCTCCGTACGTACAGGAGATATGGCAACTAATGCCTTCTTTATGTATATTGCGTCCGTGTCTGAGTTCTTTGCCGGTTGTATGACGACTTGAGTCTCTGTTGCACGCGACCCAGTTGAGAAAGAAAACAATAATATAATCAACGTCTCGTCAATCGGGAAGGAAGATATCGTAGCAGTAGATCGTTGCGAGAATTTGATTGACCGGTACACCCGCACATAGCACGAATCGAGGGCGTGAATGGCGACTATGGCTCTTGGGAGCTCGAGGTCGTGACCTACTTCGTTGCAGAAAGAAGTGTATAGGCGGAGGGATAACTTGAGAGAAAGAGAGCCTCGCGGGCTAGAGGCTAGGCCCGGACACATACACTACAACTTGGCCTAAGCTCGTCCCAGATCTGCTGTGTACTCCGGAGGGAAACGTCCGGAGGCTCTGCATGCGAAGCTGGCCTACACGTGTTCGACATACTGGCCCATGGTAGGGGCAGAGAGCAGCTCTTCGCAAGCCACCGCGCTCAAATCTAATCTAATCGTAGCACATGCGAACTCTGGATTTCGGTGTAACCTCGGACTATGCTGAAAGAGTGGGGGCGGGGCGAGAAAGTGAAAGTCCTGTCAGTCCGTACGACGACAACCACTACCGGCCCTCGACGTCGACAGCTCACAACATCTCCCTTTGATATTTCTACCCTGACGAGCCATCAATATTTCAATTCTTCCCCACCACAGCTCGAGCCATGACAGCACCCCTGGCGCGGGCGGACCACCTTGCGCTCTCGCTCCTGCTGAGCTAGTCCCCGCCACTGCACACGCCGACGCATCCCATGCACTAGTTCGCCACCCACGCGCACTTTAACAGCACCGTCTCTGCGATCAGCTCCTCGATGTGCTATGAACTGCCGTCGTCCTCGCACAGCCACTTGCAAAACACGCAGTCGCGTCCCTTTGCGCTCAACACGTCTTCGAACGGCAACAAACCGAACAACGGCGGCGGTGGGAACAGTTCCCGAGTGCGAGCTCTTTCAGCTCGCACCTGTCCGGCCTGTCCCAGCTTCTCGTAGGAGTTTGAGGTGAATTTGATTGCCAGACTGAAGCTTCTCTTCGTGCGTGCACACCTTTCTTTGCAATCACAAGCTACTGACGAAGGTGTACCATAGCTAGCGGCCTTCATTACCATGCACACCACTGATTTCTGCGCGTCACTCCCCAGCGACAGCTCTTGCGCACCACCACGAGCACACTCCCCGCACCAATAGAGACCATCCACGCGTTGATTTTACCTCTCCCCAGGCTGCCACCGTCCCCTCCGAAGCAGAAGCAACCACCGCCATCAACGGCACCTCGATTTATGTGGAGATTGCGCCCTCCATCTATGTTCGTGCTACTCCAGCAGCTATGCAGGCGTATCCTATCGCTTCCACTTCCAGTGTGCTCTCCGGCTGCACTAGTGCTAATGCGTGGACAGCCAACACCGGCGAAATCGTCGAGAACTTCACGTCCGGCTGGCCCACCCTCATTATCCGTCATGTCCAAGTGAATTGTTGTTCTTCTCTGTATCAGCGTTACCCTCAGCGGGATCTTACTGAAGGGCATTGTCGCTGACATTGGCTTCCGATTGTTCGTGGCAGTGTACACTCCCGCCCTCGTGCGCGCGTATCCGAGAAGGTCGTCGATGAGGACGTTTGTGAATCCCCAAAGCCTTCCATCCTCATCCCGGGCATTGGGCTCGTTGTCCCTTCCCATCTTTTCCCGATGCTCGAGCCTCATTTTGCCCGTGCCTTTCTTGACAGTCCTGTGAAGGAGCACAAGCTACCGGTCCTTAGCATCTCAGTTGATCTCACAGCTGCCAACGCGAAGCTTGAGAGGGAGCGCCTCCTTACCAAGATCGTAGCCCGTGCCGAGCATGCCCGCAACGACTCGACCCGGCCACTTGACGAAACCATTGGCGTATTTGAGATTGGTCCCCGCCCAGCGTCTGCAAGCTTGTCGCTGCTCACGGACGAAGAAGTCATCCTTCTGGTGAGATCGCCGTGTATGCGCTTGAGAAGATGCTTGGTGGCTTCGATAGGGCGGGCACGATCCGTCGTGCATTGATATGTCAGCACGCGCAATTATACTCAAAGATAGCTCGTACTGACCTTGCAACAGCTCGTGCTTCGAAGACCAAGATGCTTGAGCACTCAGATGTCCCCACGGCCAACTACGACTATTCCCGCGTAATGGGTGCATGCTGCGAGAACGCCGTCGCTTACATTCTCAGCCCACCTGGTATCGCTGGCCCTCTGAAGATCGATGGCGAAATGTACCCTATTCCCATGGCCGCCACCGAGGACACACTTGCTGGCTCTACCTCTCGCGGATGCAAGGCGCTCAACTCTGGCAGAGGTGTCACGACCATTGTCACCTACGACGGCAGGACTCTTGGATCTGCCATCAACTTCCCGAGTATCATGCAGGCCACCGCCGCTCGCGCATGGATCGAGAGCTCCGAGGGCTATGACATTGTCAAGGAGGCCTTCGAGTCTACCTCCCGCTTCGACAAGCTCCAGAGCGTCAAGTGTGCCATGGCCAACCGCACACTGTACGCTCGTTTCACGACTCGCACCGGCGACGCGATGGGCATGAACATGATCTTGAAGGCGACGGAGAAGGCGCTCGAAGTCTTGGGCGAGGAGTTCCTAGAGATGGTCGTCCTCGCGCTTTCGTGCAGCTGCTACACAGGCCAGGAGCTCGCCGCGATCAGTTGGATCGAGGGCCGTGGCAAGGGCATCGTCGCCGAAGTCACCATTCTCGGCAAGATCGTCAAGACTGCTTAAAACCACTGTCGAGGCGCCGTGCAGCCCGAACACCAAGATGAACTCGGTCAGCAGTGTGATGGCTGGCTCGGTCGGAAGGCTCGATACCCATGCGGCCAATATCTCGACTGCTGCCTTCTACCAGTCAGAACTCTGCGCAGAACGTCGAGAACTCCAGCTGCATGACGTTTATGGAACCGTGAGTAGAGCCCAAACTTCACCGATATTCATCGCTTACCCGCGCTCGCTGCAGAACGAGCAGCGGCGAAGACCTACGGTCTCAATGCCGTGTATCGAAGTTGGCTCCGTCGGCAGTGGTACCGTCCTCGCCCCTCGGCAAGTTGTCCCCAAGAGCGCTCATCAAGCGAACCCTGGCCAGAGCGCCCAACAGCTCAAACCCTAACCAGATCGCGGCTGACACCCTGCAGGATGGCGGTTTTCTTCTCAGCTACCCCGGACTCGCCGTGACTCTGCTCTGAAACCTGCATCGCTGCTCGCTCTGAGCGTTAAGGCATCTCACTGCAGTCTCTTCCTACATCTTCTACAGAAAGAAAACCATTCCGGTTCCCTATCCACGATATTCCTGGCCAAGTTTCGGTTGGTCCGAAATCGTCTCGTTGCCGGTCATTATGCCGCATAAATACGCACTCCAGTCTACTACTCTCTTCCTGCCGTCGACTTCATCATTCCATGGACGCATCGCTGTACAAGCACCTTGTCACCTCTCGCGGTCTTGCACAGCGCTACTGCATCTCCCTTCCTCAGTCCTCCAAGCTGATCCTGCTATTTTACCGTGGCTCACCATCCACGTCGCAGCTAGCGCCACGTTATGCCTCGCTCGAACGACAAGGGCTACGGCGTGCTCGCCTTGGACATGCTCGGCTGTGACGGGGTAGACAAACTCACCGACCCTGTGGCGTGCGTCCCAAGCCTGATATCGGTGATGTCTTGAATGCCAAGAAGCTTGAGAAGGTCATCGCTATCGGATATGACTAGTGAGTCGTCTCGTCCCTGTTCTCTGGGGCTGTCTCGGATGCTGAAATGCCCGTGGTAGGGGTTGCAAGGCGATCTCGCGCCTCACAAACTACGATCTCGCGCCTCACAAACTATGATCTCGAGCGAATCCTCACCTACGTCTTCTTCGCCATCTCCTTCGTACAAATGCTACCCTCGGTGGACTTCCAAGTGTTTCCGAGCTTCCTGAAGCAGCACCTCTGGTACGAGACACTAGGTCAATGGAAGCTCGAGTAGCCGGACGCAAACGAGGTCATTCAGATGCATGTAAGTGGCAGACGCGTGCCCTCCTCGTCCTGCAGTCTCTGACGCGTCTTGCTGATCAACTCGTTCGTCAGCGTCGTATTTCCGCACGGCCCTACGATCTGTAAGGAGCACCTAGCCGTGACGGGCACACTCGAGCAGAGCTTGCTCGACGGCTTCACTTCGCTCCGGCTACCTTATCTGTCCAAGGAAGACGCGAAACACCTTGTAGAGACTGTCAAGTGCAATAACAACGACGTGCTAGTTCAAGATAACGACGAGCGAGCTGTCCACCAAGGACGACCAGTGTGCGTCTTTGTATCCCCGTGATTTCTCTTGGCGTGGCTGATGCAAGGGTTTTGCTGCAGAGATCCTGCCGCGGCGCAGGTTTCCGCTGGCCAGCGTGCCAATATACTTCGCCGCGGCGAAGAACGACTATGTCTGCCTTCCAGGACCGGTTATGCGGTCTTCGCGCGCAGGTATTCATCGGGCACAGCGTGACGATGAAAGAGTACGACGGGGACCACTGGCAGATGGGATTGTCCAAGATCGTGAGGAGTGGATCGAAGGCGCTGCAGCCACGAAAGCCGACTGTAGGTGCCGAAGATGCGGTTGCTGATGCCTCCTTCGTAGATGTCGTGTCCGCGTTTTAGTTCCTTGCCAGCCGTACAACGGCTTGAATTTATTACACGCGACCCAGTTGAAAAAGAAGTTAATAAGAATCAACAATTGGCAGCGGAGGAGAGTGGGTTGTATCGTGCATGACAAAGTCGCGGTGACGGAGAGGGAGAGGATTTAAACTGATAGGTGAATTTCACGACATGCATAAAAACTCGCCACGTGCTTACTACGCTCCAGCTCGCGGGTGTACACGACGGCAGAGACGCCACGAGAAGCCAGAGCGCATCCTCAAACAGGACACATTGGCACTGACGTTCAGCGATGAATAGGAGTGCCCTAGGTGACGGCAGCTTGGTGAGTGAGGCTCGCGGAAGATCATATCGGCTGCGCACCTCATTGAGACCCCAGACCTAGGCTACCTGTCCAAGTTCTTGAAGCGCACGCCTGGCGCTGCACGGCCAACGACATGCCCGACGGTGGTCTGTTGACTCTGTTCGAGCTAGACCGATTTGTGAGCATCTTCAGCTTCCAGTGGGCACGGTGATCGTGACAGAGCACCAGGGAAACAGCAGCTCGCGAGCGGCATATTCAGTTGTGAAGACCAGCGCCTTTGCAAATGCGAGGCAGCGCTGGCTAAGAAAGGGCAGGAGGAGGAGGACACAGGGGATCGTCAACGGTTGAGAGAATGACGAGCACGCCGCGCAACAAGGCGAGATATATACCGGAGCGGAATCCCGGCATGGTCCGAGGTCACACCCCGTGCTATGATTAGATAGCTGATTAGATTTGAGCGTATCCTGCGAAGAGCTGCAGCAAGCTGCCGACCGGAATATTCTCTGCCTCAGCTACCAGGGATCAGCACGTCGAACACGTGAAGGCCTTTGCATGCAGGGCCTCCAGGTGTTTCCCGCTGGTGTACATTGCAAATCCGGGACGAGCTCAAGCTCTCGAGTTGCAGTGCATGCGTCTGAGACTACCCTCTGGCCCGCGAGACTCTCTTTCTTTCACGCTACTGCCACCCGTCACATGCTTCTGAATGCCTCCTGCCCTGCCGCCTTTCCGCTTCTTTCTGGGACGAAGCAAGCCTCGATCTCGGGCTCCAAGCGCCGTAGTCAGAGCCGTTCACGCCCTTGGTTCGCGCTACGTGTAGATGTACCGGTCAATCGGATTCTCGCAAAGATCTTACCACTGTGGTGTCTTCCTTCCCGAGAGACGAGGTGTTTCCCGTGTACCCTCAGGCTGTTTCCCATGATCCAATCCGGCATGGGCGTCACAATCGTCAATGACGAGGCGGTCTCCAAGACGGCCTAGGAGAGCGGGATAATCACGACGGATCGTCGACGGTACGCTTGCAATGATACGGTCTGTCTCGACAATCTCAACAAGGGTGCTATGCTAGCTTGAGGACAGGCGTGGTGTGGTAGGATTTGCAGCAGCGGAGTGTCCAAGTATGATATCGATTCTACAGTGACAAGACATGTGCATAATCCTCTAGTGTTCTATCCTCTAAGAATATATGAAATATACACTGAACGAGCACAAAATTATATGGCTAGACTGGTGGATCGCCCCTCGAGATGTCTCTTCGCCTACTTCTCACATCGCCACACCGGAGCTTTTGACCTTGCCTACTGTTCGCCTGTCCATCTCCTCCGCTTGCCTCCTCCTAACAGTGTCACAACCTCCAAATCGCCTATCCTCCGCGAACGCGTTACGGGCTGTACGGCACATGTGCGACGCGCCCTATCCGTGTGATATTGATGCACGTCCCAGGCCGCGGGTTCGTCGTGGTGGGTTCTCTTCGGCGCCGCGGTCGAGAAGCAGGCGCACGACCTCAGTGTGTCCCATCGCCTTCGCGTGGTCCAGCGCGCGTAATCCGTGGGTGTCCATGGCTGCGACGTCGGCACCGTTGTCGAGGAGAACGCGGGAGGCGTCGATGTGCCCTTTCCAGGCTGCATAGAACAGCGGGGTTCGTTCGTCCTCATCCTGCACGCCGACAGCCATGCCGTGCTCGAGAAGAGTGAGCACGATGTCGACGCGACCGTGATTTGCAGCGACATGTAGCAGTGTCGCACCTTTCTTGTTCTGCGAGTCGATAGCTGCACCGCGCTCAAGAAGGGTACGCGCAATGTCGGCGTGGCCATGTTGTGCAACGATATGTAGCGGTGTCCAGCCATCCTTGCCCTGCGAGTTGACAGCGGCACCGCGCTCGAGAAGGGTACGGGCAATGTCGGCATGGCCATATTCTGCAGTGATATGTAGCGGTGTCCAGCAGTCCTTATTCTGCGAGTTGACAGCGGCACCGCGCTCGAGAAGGGTACGGGCAATGTCGGCGTGGCCAAATTGTGCAGCGATATGTAGCGGTGTCCACCCGTTCTTGTTCTGCGAGTCGATAGCTGCACCGCGGTCGAGAAGGGTATGCGCAATGTCGGTGTGGCCATTTTGTGCAGCAATATATAGCGGTGTCGCACTGTTCTTGTTCTGCGAGTCGACAGCTACACCGCGCTCGAGAAGGGTACGCGTAATGTCGGCATGGCCATTTTGTGAAGCGATATGTAGCGGTGTCCAGCCATCGTTGTTCTGCGAGTCGATAGCTGCACCGCGCTCGAGAAGGGTACGCGCAATGTCGGTGTGGCCAAATTGTGCAGCGATATGTAGCGATGTACACCCGTCCCGTTGCCGCGCGTCGACAGCTGCACCGCACTCGAGAAGAGTACGCGCAATGTCGGCGTGGCCATTTTGTGCAGCGATATGTAGCGGTGTACACCAGTTCAGTTCCCGCGCGTCGACAGCCGCGCCGTGCTCAAGAAGAGTGAGCACGACGTCGACATGACCGTGACTCGCAGCGACATGTAGCAGTGTCGCACCTTTCTTGTTCTGCGAGTCGACAGCTGCACCGCGCTCGAGAAGGGTACGCGCAATGTCGGTGTGGCCATATTGTGCAGCGATATGTAGCGGTGTCCAGCCATCCTTGCCCTGCGAGTTGACAGCTGCACCGTGCTCCAGAAGGGTACACACAATGTCAGCATGGCCATATTCTGCAGTGATATGTAGCGGTGTCCAGCAGTCCTTATTCTGCGAGTTGACAGCGGCACCGCGCTCGAGAAGGGTACGGGCAATGTCGGCGTGGCCAAATTGTGCAGCGGTATATAGCGGTGTCCAGCCATCATTGTTTTGCGAGTTGACAGCTGCACCGCGGTCGAGAAGGGTACGCGCAATGTCGGTGTGGCCATTTTGTGCAGCAATATATAGCGGTGTCGCACTGGTCTTGCTCTTTGAGTCGATAGCTGCACCGCGCTCGAGGAGGGTACGCGCAATGTCGGCGTGGCCAAATTGTGCAGCAATATATAGCGGTGTCGCACTGTTCTTGTTCTGCGAGTCGATAGCTGCACCGCGCTCGAGAAGGGTGCGCGCAATGTCGGTGTGGCCATTTTGTGCAGCAATATATAGCGGTGTCGCACTGTTCTTGTTCTGCGAGTCGACAGCTGCACCGCACTCGAGGAGGGTACGCGCAATGTCGGCGCGGCCATTTTGTGTAGCGATATGTAGCGGTGTCCAGCCATCCTTGTTCTGCGAGTCGACAGCTGCACCGCACTCGAGAAGAGTACGCGCAATGTCGGCGTGGCAATTTTCTGCAGCGATATGTAGCGGTGTCCACCCGTCCCGTTGCCACGCGTCGACAGCTGCACCGCGCTCGAGAAGAGTACGCGCAATGTCGGCGCGGCCATTTTCTGCAGCGATATGTAGCGGTGTCCACCCGTCCCGTTGCCGCGCATCGACAGCTGCACCGCGGTCGAGAAGAGCACGCGCAATGTCGACGTGGCCATTTTGTGCAGCGTCGTGTAGCGGTGTCCAGCCGTTCTTGTCCTGCGAGTCGAAAGCTGCACCGCGGTCGAGAAGAGTACGCGCAATGTCGGCGTGGCCAAATTGTGCAGTGATATGTAGCGGTGTACACCCGTCCTGTTCCCGCGCGTCGACAGCCGCGCCGTGGTCGAGAAGGGTGCGCGTGTTGTCGATCCGGCCATATTGTGCAGCAAAATGCAGTGGCGTTCTCCCGTTCTCTGCCTGTGTGTTGACAGATGCCCCGCGCTCGAAAGGAGTGTGCGCGATATACTTCTCGACATGCCCACTCCTGCCCATAGCCTCCTCGCCCCACAAATATACCACCCTCAAATTGTTTTCTCCTAGTTTCAGCCCAACGAGTTTCCTCCCCTCGTCCTCATCCATATGGATCACACCCCATTTGATCACCTCAACAGCTTTCTTCCCTTGCACATCCCGCTCTCCGACCACTTCAGCTGCAACCCAGCGATCCTTCCGGGGCGACCCGACGCCGACGAAGCGATACGGAACATCCGGGGCAAGACATCCATGCACTTCGGTAGCGCTGACTTGCACGGTGATGGGCTCAGTGCGATTGTAGAAGTACAGTAGAAACACTTGCTTTACACCAGTATTTCGGCAGGCGTCGTCGGGTGAGGATACAATATAGCATGGCTCGGTGGCATATCCGGCATGGTAATACTCTCCGGGCTTATTTGTGTGAATTTGCTGAGGATTCACCAGCTGCAGCTGCTCCGTGTCAAGTGTCTGATTTGGGAGCAGCACCGCCGATGGAGACGCCGAGAGCCCCCGCCATGAGATCCAGAGTCCGAACGGAGCGTCGGATTCGTGCTGAAGGAAGAGAGACATCCTGACCCACGAAGGCATGTGCTTGATGAGCAACATCCATGCGGACTCCAAGGAGACCAACCGATCGTACAGCGGTAGTGTCGGGCATTGCAGGAGGTAACCAAGACAGGCTATCCTGTCAAGGTCTGTGGGGCAATTCCGACTCTTCACGGCTTGGATGACGTGGGTGAATCGGTCCCGGCGAGACATACTCGAGATGAGGTCCTGCATACGAGGAAAGAAACTCGGACTATTGGAGAGAGGTGCGGCGGTGAGCCCACCGGGTAACCAGCTATCCATGGTCTCCTGCACAGTAGACAGGCAATTGAACCAGTGACGATCCGATTTGAAAGCCGTCGGCGACGCATCAAACGGCAAGCCCAAGCCGTTGAAATAC